GAGGATTGACGGACTTAGAAGACAAGCGAATTAGGAATATGATAGCTACTCGAAGATGTATCGATGAGTACTGTTTCATCAAAATCTTCGATTTTGGTTACTAGAACGATAAGCAATGCTTGAAATGCTGATAACGGATATGATTTGATTCCAACGAAATCTACCACTTTTATAATTTCTTGGTTATTCCCACTTCTCATCCTTAGCCGCTATCATTTAATGTATCCACAAGAGAAGTTTAATAGGCTAAACGAGAATGTTGTTACTCTTTGCAGCCTAAATTTATTAGCATTCTTTCATACTGGGAATCTTAAAAGTTGAAAGTGTCCTAGTTTTAATTTTAAGCATAAAAGCTGCGAACTAGTTGATCAGTTTTATATAAATTTATGTAAACGAGAGATGCACTTGTAACACTACATATCAAGAATAGAGAAATGAAAATTGGAAAGCTGTCCGTTTTATTCCTCCCATAGGGTCAATATGACTGGACTGTCATACCTGAAGTGTAGCGGATGAAGTGTTGTACAAGTTTGGGTTCTATATTTATTATCACGGTAAAGGACACATAGACAAAAGGAAGGAGAGCGGAAGAAGAGGCAGCCAGGCAACAGCGAGGTGATTCCCTCTCCTGAATTTTGAGTCAGCCCCCAGCTAGCAGCTGATGCTGCATCTCGACACGTAGCTTCCTGGATATTAGGGGAGAAGGCTGTAAGCAAACCTACCTAAATACTTACTTATCTGAACTATAGAAATTGAGCGTTTCATAAGATGCTCTATCTGTGTTCATTATCGTTACTGCAATTTTTGGGCAGTCGTATAAAATATTCAAATTACAAATGTGTTGCTATGTAAAGGAACTTCAAGTACATGTTCAATTAGGAAGTTGATTTGCTTTTGTCGGCCGCTATGTAGCTTTTTCCATTCTAAGAAATTCTCATTCTAGCACCATCCCACTTATTTGTTGAAGTGCAACAGTTTCTTTGGCGACGTACCGATTTGAATATAACAGTTTCTGAAAGAAAATAAACTTGAAGCTTCTTATGGTACCGTAAGAAAAACTGACTCACAAACCTTAATTGCTACATTTTAGCACGTTTAATAAGAAATCATCACCAACCATAGTTTCCCCTCTCATCGTGATGCTAAGTAAGAATCTTGTTAAAGAATCATCATGTCAAATTATGAAGCGTAAAACTTAATTTGATGAGCTCGGATTCGAATAAAAAAAGTACTTCTGCTGAGTTTGAAATCCGAAATATAGGGGTGACTAATCTACTAAATAAAGTGATTAATTCATCTAGTTGATCGATAACTAATAGCCAAATTCTTAACGAGCATGATTAACCCCAATTTCGTTTATAATGGGGACGTAATTGCGAGTCAACTGTTAGGTATAGAAAAATTGGCAACCCATTTGACCGCACTGGGATTAAACTTGGCTCGGTCCATTCGCCTTTGCGTACACACCTTAAGCCAGAAAATAGAATTACTGGGTTTACTAAAGCTTTACTGAGCATCCAAAGTATGATCTTTAAACTTGTTGCCTAAGTAATGAAACAGGGTATGGTAATACTCATTTCATGCAAAATCATCCATAGGACTTTCCATTAAAGTAGGCAATGCTCATCTGTGTCTTCAGTCCTTACAACATTTTCTCGCCACATTAATAAATCTCGCAATTTACCCTCAGTTCATTTCAGGTGTTAACTGAATTAACTGAGAAGTTAACTGCGATTTAACTCTGAGTTTGCTCAGAGTTATCATCCAACTTTTGGGGATCCAAAATTTATGGGACCTTTTTGTGAATGTTTTGCGCTCGTATCAATGCTAACCTCGAAATTTTTTAGAAAAGAATTTTTGTTTCTTGTACAATAACTGCGATCTTGAAACTCGCAGCCAAATGCGAGTCAGTCACAATTAACTGTTATTGGTACAAACACCTCGGAATTTTTGCAGATCTAATCACTACTGAAAAGAATAGATTTTCCCCTACGAGTTGCTTCGCTTATTAACCATCGATGTACTTTTAGTTGATTTAGAATTATTTGAAAATTTTATATTAATTTTAGAGACTAAAAAAGCTTCTGTGACAAATTGCCCTTCTAGAATCGCAGGACTTTGGAACTTGCTTCACCTCAGTATGTTCTTTTTACCATTTTACGTATAATATTTATTTTTCACTCCAGGGTCCTACGGTAAGGTTATAACAGGCAGAGAGGGATGAGTCGAAGTCACAACTTAAGATGAGCTGTTGAGTTATTTGTAAGTTATTGCGAATATTTCTGTTTTGTGAGATAGGCACAAAGTTACCAATCCATTGTAGGCTGATTGATGTTTAGATCACCCCATCACTTACCTACCACAATTTCAAAGTAAGGCTTTATCATGCAAAATCCACACGCTAATACTAAAATGTCAGTTATTCTATTAGCCCACCTTTGGGCCGAACTAATGACTTTCACTCCCCTATATATAACCCGTTCACTGTGGCCTCCGCATGCCTTATGGTGTGGAAAGGATATGATATTCATAATGACCATATCAAATGACCTTTTAGGTGAATGTTTGCCTTCCAAACTCCCAATATTCTAAGAAGGATAAGACAATTGTTTGATTAGCTCTCCTCTTACACTTTCACCTTAGAAATTTCCAGAAATTGTACCGCGCAAACTTGTACGACGATCAGTACAGTACATTACCCAGGCTTTATCGGTTGATATTCATTAATTTATACAAGTTGCTCCTATAGTGATTAAGGAATTTGATTGTAATCACGATAATCTGTATAAAAATGGCTAATCTATGACTATTTCGGGTGATAGCGTTGTCAGAAGAAAGCAGAAAGGAGAAGTAGTGAAACAGTAATACGATCAAAGTAGAAAATGGTCAAGTTTTGTAGAGCAAAGTTTGTAAAATAAAGGCTTACCTAGATTTTATCA